GGGTAGACGACTAATTTTTATTTTAATGTCCGTCTGGTAGATTATTTAAAAACATTAGACACGTATTTTTTATTTTCTTACGGAAACGAATAGTTTCGAAGATATATTGATTTGAAATGTCGCGTGACGTCACTTCTCAGTACATTTTATACTAAGAAATGACGTTTTAGCCCCCACTCCTAAACTTTGATTCGTTTTATCTAAGTATTGTTTTATTATACAACAAAATAAAAAAATACGTGTCTAATATTTTTTTATTACCTAAGTTACGGACTAATTATATTTTTAATTTTCATACCGTCATCATCCCCATTATGCCGGAGTATAAATTATATAGAAACACTTACCAATATAATAGAAGTTCTTGGGCAGTTTGCTGACAAGTGGTCTGAAGCTGATAGCCGAGTCTACACTCCCATGGCATAGCAACACAGGAGGATCGTAGCAGTTGCCCCATGCTATTACTGGAATGAAAAACAAGAATAGATTAAAAGGATAGATAGATATTGGTTGCTGGGAGCTGCTGGATGCACATCACATTGACTTCTAGGATGAATTGTTCTCACACAATCGAACCAATAAAACTATGTAACTAGAGAATTGTATTGTAACCCTAATTGAAAAAGAGTAACCTATGGAATTCTGGCTGATTCTTCTACATAGGAGTCTACACCTTGGAATGAGTAACTAGTTTCACTTTTACATTTTTTTTTGTTGACGTTGAAAACTGTCTTCCTGGTCTAATGGAAATAAATTACTTTTTTACTTTTTTTTAGTTGTGTGAGGCAGTACATGTCTTGCGCCTGATATGATGGTAGTAAATCACACTAAGATTATAAATGTGAAGGTTTCTTTGTTTGGAGATCAATCACGCTGAAACTACTGAACGGATTTTGATGAAATATATAGCACAGACTATATATAAATATACTGCCAGGCAAAGGGTTTCAGGTTCCATTCCTGGGTCAGACAAAGTATTGTTGGGTTTTTTTAAGAAATTCTCAGTAGTACCACGAAGTCTGGAATATTCTGCCCTGAATATGGCAATAGGCTCACCCCCTTTTACATGGGACTCATAACATAAATAGTGAAAAATGGGTGTTACATTGTACAGTGGCATTAAGTGCCATAAAGTGCACCTCCGCCTACCCTATCAGGAATAAAAGACGTGATGTTATGTTTATGGCTCGGTGGGTTCTTCGTTTGTTAGATGTTACTAACATTTAGTTTGATAGTCAATATAGTTGTTAACTCGTCGAGTACCGGTTTTGTAGACACAATTATAGAACAATAGGTTGCGGTCACCGGTGACCGCTTGGTGTTTGACAGTTTAATAGCATTTTCGTAACCCAGTTAATCATACTTGAAACATGTGGACCCAACGAGGCAGTCTAGTAGTAGAAAATTAGGTAGTCTAGCCTAAATGATGGTCATATAACATTAATTTCTTTAAGTTTAAGTATGACTGATTTTAATGTAATTATGGTATTGGACTAAATTTTGTATGACTGCGATGGTATGGTATTAATAATGTATGGTATAGATATTAATTAATTTTATGGATCTCTTAGATGTCCGAAATAAATGATTTTTATTTTTATTTATTTTTTATTTTTTAATTGATGATAGATGAAAGAAAACATTCTATTCAGCTCATCATATGCTTACTTCTTGGAGAAAGAACAATCAAACAATTTGTAATACTATTTTAAATGTCAATTCAGCCATGAGTCACCAAAAACTGATATTAAACATTCCATTTAATGATGAGCGGGCAAAGATCATTTTTTTTATCAATGACATAATTTTCATAAAAACAGTTTGGTCATGGTTACTACCTAGTAATCAACCTGTAAAACAGCTATCTAGGTAGATACATAATCTTTGCTGCTAGCTGTTTATTTATGATAGTGGTAAATTAGTTATTGTCCTGAATATTACCAAGTAATATTACAAACATTAAAAAAAACCTATGACACTTTGGCCAACTTGGGATTCGAACCAGGGACCAGCTTGGCAGCACCGCTTATATGAGCAAGAAAAGGAATCATTGTACATTTAGATAGATTTCTTTTTTAATATTGTTGCTGTAAAAGGAGACAGACAAATAATGCCTTAGGAATAAATAAAACTGACTTCTTGAATAAACTTGACCGCCTCGTTGGCCGAGTGGTTGCAAGTGCGAGTGCCAGGCAAGGGGTCTCAGGTTTGATTCCCGGGTCAGGCAAAGTATTACTGTTTTTAAAAAATTCTCAGCAGTAGCACGGAGGAATTGTGTCCGGTATATGGGAATAGGCTCCCCCCTATTACATGGGACTCATAACATAAATAGTGAAAAGTGTATTACATTGTATGGTATTACATTGTACAATGGCATAATATGCCCTACCCCTTCGCCGGGGATAAAAGGTGTGATGTTATCTTATGAATAAAGAAAAACGATAGAATAGATAGAATAGATTCTTTAGGATGGCCCTCTTAGAGAAATTAAGGGTTGGAGTGTAGTAAAAGGTGTGCAAGGAGTTTTGGACTTTTTTCATACTGCGCCAACTGACCTTTAGGGCTCATTTCCAGGCAAACCTGAAGTCTTAGACAGAAAGTGCCCAAATAGTTTTCTTTTATTTTTAGGTATACTAAACGATGGAAAAACACTAGCTATTTATAAGAATTTTCATTTTTGATGAAATTTTTTAAGCCTCAAAAATCTTGCACACCCTTACCCTTACCCTTGCTATATACTGTGACCAAATAAACTGTCAAACACCGCGAAGACACCGGTGACTGCAACCTATTGTTCTTTAATTGTGTCTATAATGACGGTACTCAAAGGGTTAAGAGAGCAAGCTACAAAATAAACAACCAATAGCAACAACCTGTTGAAATATTGTCAATGTGACAAAAAAGTATAGATTTGCAGTCTCTTTGATTACTATTAGAACTTTGAAAAAAAGGCGCGAATTACAATCGTATGAAGCCTAATTTACAAGATCAAAGATCAAGGTACAGGAAAACCTCATTTGAATACGTTATCTGATAAGTGAGATAATTTAAAACTGAGTTTCCAGTTCAAAGGTCGTTTTCGTCAAATTACCGTTATTTAGCACTCAAATCTAGGATTTTAAATGTGTAATATTGTAAATGTGTATACTTACTTGCTATTCTGCCCCAAGGAGCTTGAATATACCATTCATTTTCCAATAAATCCATATTTAAATAAACTTTGCGTCGATTTTAAAAGTAAACACGATTTCGCTTCTGCAAATATTTTTCAATAGTATATTGCACTGGAATATATGTAAATTGCAATGTAGTTTAATAATTTGAATATTCACATTAACCTTTAGCTAAATATATTATTTAAATTTAAATAATTTACAAACGTAAGTACTATTGAGTACGAGCGAGCAAAACAAAACGAGCTGTCAATATGAATGCAGTGAAACGTCAAATCTAAAAGTAAGCAGGCACAGATAACATTAAAAATTTGACACTGAATATGGTGTTCTAAACGCATCTAAACGTAATGCGTGAAAGATTAGTATAAATATTTGTATGCACTTCAAATCGAAATATTTAGCAATAACTATATTTGTTCACAATTTTTGATGTTTGCAAGGTTGTTGTATTACAATTTAATAAGCTAAATAAGATGAACAGAACGTAACATAATATCACGCCTTTAATCCTCGAAGGGGTAGGCATAGGTGCATAATACGGCACTTAACGCCACTGTACAATGTAACACCCACTTTCCACTACCTAGGTATTTATGTTATCAGTCCTATCAAGTCCTATGTAATAGGGGGTGAGCATATTGTCATGTTATTACACCGGGCACAGTTACACGTAACCTTCACTTAATGTATTTTAGACAATTTTATTAATAAATTATTATGTTTTCGGCTTACTCACGTAATAATTTGACGAGGAACTCGCCTACTTTCAGGTCATGCTAGAGGCTCATATTCATGAGCAGCATTTCGGGACCCGCGACGCGGCGACTGTCGTCTAGTCTAAAACTAGTCGAGTACCTCGTCAAATAATTTGTTTTTTTAAACGTGAGTACCTAAGCCGAAAACATAATAATTTATTTAGTATGTCTCAGGAAAATTACAATACAAATTTTATTAATGTTCTCCAAGGTAAAATACAATTGATTTCAATCTTTTATTAGGTACTTTAAACAGTAGTATCGTCAGAATGGCGTGACATATTTATCTGTAATTACATAATAAATCATAGATAATATAGCCATTTAAGTTCATATTATACGTGTGTAATAAGAAAATGAGTTGATAACAGTCCTTGTAGAAACTAAATAAAGCTTTAGCAGTATCAAGTAGCTTCTAGTAATATAATACACAAAGTGCATTTTCTTTTGTATTCCATTAAAGGGTTGCACATTATTGGGTATTTGCCAACTAGTCAAATTCAATACTTTTTTCGAACTGTCAAAAACGACAGTTTTCTAAGAGTTTTGTACGAGGTTGTATTTTTGACGCCTGTATACTATCAGTATAATTATTTCTTAGAAAATAGCGAGATAAATAGTAAACTTATGTTGATCATAAAATCAATTAATGAAAGTGTGATTATTTTTCGATATTTTATTGTATTTATTAGTCGAAATAATTCATTTTATATATATAGGTACAATCTAACTATGAATATTTTACAGTTTTTCAATTAAACCAATAGAGTAGACGACTAATTTTTATTTTAATGTCCGTCTGGTAGATTATTTAAAAACATTAGACACGTATTTTTTAGTTTCTTACAGAAACAAATACTTTCGACGATATATTGATTTCAAATATCGCGTGACGTCACTTCTATGTACATTTTATACGTAGAAATGACGTTTTAGCCCCCATACCTTTTTTGGGTTGCTATACTGATATTATTTAAAGGGCATTGACTAAAATTGGTGCCTTTCTTTTTTCTGGCGGCAGTCGACGATTTATGGAAAATATTATCTAGAATGACATTACAAACGAAATTGTCTATGGGCTCATATATGGAAATCTCAGTCTGGACTGAGTTATGAGGGCTCATTCAATTTTACATTGGTTTTTTTATTCAAATTATTCATATTTTTGTCACAATTCCTAACTTCAAATTGTGCGCCACTGTACGCCGGGCACAGAAACACCAAATCACACCACAATATATCCATATTGCCAGTCGCTAATTTTTATTACCTATTTTCTCTCAGTCGATAACTTGTGGGATGCTTCTAGGAGTTGTGTCATGAAGCTTCATGAGTGTCAGCTGTGGTACCAATGGTGGGTTGAGTAGTTGTAGCCGTCCAAACATAAAATAAAATATTTTTTTGCCGTTGACTCCTGGTGGGAGACTCATCTACGTGATGGAATATACGTCAGATGAGCGTATATTTTTTTTATATAATGTGATCATTCGAAATGTGTCATTTTGTGCCTGAATAACGATGTGATTGTACAGAATCTTAAGCTAGATATAGATTAAAGTATTAACTGTAGTTAGATTACTCACTAATCAGAAGTAGGTAAGTCGGGAGAATAGACAAAAAATGTTTTTTTCGTGTTTTGACGACTGCTACTACTCAATCCGCTACCGACGCCGCAGCTGACACACATATCATTTCATGATAGGACTCAGTAAAGTATTTTGCGGGTTTTTGACTGAGAATAAATTGATCATGAAAATCTGTCCCTAAACCGTATACATAAAAATTGAACACGCTAGCCACTCAAACGAAATGTTTTTTTTTCTTCAGCAGTGGTCAGTTAACGGTTCACTTTGTTCTGATTCCGTGGCCTTATAACAACAAAAAATAAAATAAATAAAAACAAATATAACAAACAAAAAAAAAAATAAGTAAAAAAGTCCACAATAAGCTTTACTATATTCCTTGATATTTATAAACATTTATTACAAAATATTTCTGACAAGTAAATGAAGAAATATGCGTTGTGTACGGTCACCACCAACAAAATCACAGGAACTATATAGCACTATTTTCACATCTTTGAACCGATTTAACTCGGTTCGGACTGTGTTTTTGATATAAGACCCCATATATTTTTTTGTTTGTAATGTTATTCTGTATCAGTTTATCCACATCCGATCAACTGCCGCGAAAAAATGAAAAGGCACCACGCTCCATACAAATTTGGTCATTGTCATTTGTATGTCATACCTGGAGTAACCTAATTTGATACTTTATAATAATTTGTTTGTTTGTTACGTCTTCACGTCTGGTTACTCCAGGTATGACATACTAATTTTTGGGTTGCTATACTGATATTTTTTAAATTTGCCGGGTTTTTTCAATCTACTTTCGTTTGCCAGACTTTAATGTTAACCGTTTACTGTTCCTCTTAATAAAAAAAAAACAAAATAGGTACGCTCACCCTCTATTATAGTATACATGGGACTCATAACATAAATAGTGAAACAAAGAATACGTGCGCGCTGCTCATGAGGAAGAGTCCCTCTGTAACTCGAAACTAGTTGAGCTTTTCTCAGTATATTTACGTAAGTAACACGTAAGTTTTAGTTAAGTGGTTGTTATATTGTATTAGGTAGTGTCGTAGGTAGGGGTAGGCAGAGGTGCACATTAAGTGCCTTAATGCCTACCCCTTTGGAGATAAAAGGCGTGATGTTATGTTATGAAATTCGCAAAATATCTTTACAATATAACAAGAAAACGAAACAAAATCGCGGGAAAACCTTATAAATGGATTATTAACTTTATCAAATATTGTCATCGATTACATTTTTAACAACATAATGATGATGATATATTAAATAATAACAAAACCAAATTAAACTACAGTTGACCGCAGCGCTAGTTTCTTCAGCAGTTTCTTATTTCTAAGAAGAAAATGTTAAACGTTTCGTTAGTTCCAACTTTGTTCACCCGCATTGTTAACTTGGTGGCGTTGTTCGATTGTTTACATGACGATAGGCTGTTATGACGTAATAATATTTATGGTTTTATCTATTTATTGATGTGTTTGACGTTTTTAAACGTGTTTATGAAGATGTTGCTTGTACATGGTGTTTTTATTTTGACGTCGATAGTTCCTTAATGGCATTGAGCCATGCTTCGGCACGAATGGGCCGGCTCGGCCGGAGTGATACCACGGCCTCACAGAAAACCGACGTGAAACAACGCTATCGTTGTTTCACGTTGTGGAAGTGAGGTTACCCGAGACCCAAGTAACCCCCTCTCCCTTCCCAATCTCTCCAATCCCTGAACCCTCAAAATACCTCAAATTCCCAATCCCCAAAACGCCAGTAGCGTACTTGTAACGTCTCTAGTGTTTCAGGGCGACGCCGGTTGCTTACCATCAGGTGATCCGTCTGCTCGATTACCGACTTATAAAAAAAGAAACTAGAAAGCGCCCTAGATATTGTTGCACAGGCGTCCCTACATTTTTCAGGTGACGCCGCTACTCTATAGGCTCTCGCGTCTCGCAGCGCCCTCTGTAACCTGGCGTCCTAGACGCTTGCCTAGTATGTCTTAGTGATAATATGACTCTGTATATTTTTTTATGATTATCAAGGACTATTGATGTTGAAGAACAGTTTGAATAAATACATTGATTATTGCACAGTTGATGCGGCTATCCCGCAACGTGAACCGAGTTCAATTTCCGCACGGAACAACTCTTTGTGTGATCCTCATATTGTTGTTTCGGGTCTGTGTGTCATGCGTTAGAGATGGGATTTAACCCGGAAAAAACCCGAATATGAGAAAAAACTGGGAACAGTACGTACTTACCCAGACGTAAGAGTTTTGGGTACCCAACCCGAAATTATTTCTTTGATTGTCTCATAATTTTTAGGAAGCCAACTTTCGCGGAAATGATGCCTATGAAAATTTTCGCAGGATCGGCAACGCACTCGTGATCAGTACCGGCTTTACCATAAGGTCATTCGGGGCCCGTGCCCAGGGCCCCCGACCTTAGGGGGCCCCCAAAGGACCGACAAATCTACCCGTGCCCAGGGCCCCCAACCTCAAGGGGCCCCGAAGGACCGACAAATCTACGACGGATACACAGCTACAAGTTGTGAGGCAGCCGGTTATAGCGGGTTCGCACGGAGCGAGTAGGTACATCTTTGTAAACGCACCCACGATACAGGAGAAAATCCTAGTGTGGTGGAATGTTAAAAAAGAAACATTCCAAAAGGGCCACGATTTTTTGCCTGCTCAAGGGCCCCAGCGTAGTCTAAAAAGGGGCTGATTACATAAGCTTGGGCCACACTAGGCATGATTTCACTTGGCGTGTTCCAAAAACTTTATAAGATAAGACTGGACAGGAATTTATTCAACTGCAGCGCCCTCTGAGCGCAAAAACGGTAGCATATTTTCAGTTAGAAATCGTACTTATCATGTCTGCCCCAAATTGCTGAGTTCTCATGGGCTCCAG